TTAATTGTGCAATAACTAAGCTGTTTATATAACAGTTTATGATTATAGGCTTTATTTTGACAAATTTCTTATTGATCCCACCTTTTTTTTTTGGGCATCCTCTTTCTTGATTTCCAAAAGGTGGCAACCCTAAGTGCACCTCAAATCGTGTCACATACTCTTCAGCTATTCTGTCACATTAAATCCTGCCACTGTTTTTGAAGAGTACCTGTCAGCATACAATCTTTTTCTATCCAAGAGTCACTGCACTGGTTTGTTTGTCTGCAACTTCAACCACATGACAGGAATTATACAACAAGGTTTAAATAATTAACCCAGTTAACCTTCCCATGGCTTCCAAGTCATTCAGCATTGCAGTACATCCACTGCCACCTGAGTTAAAGCTCTGACCAGATAGAGCTGCTCTACAGGGAAAACTCCACCCCTTAATTTAAATATAAAAACTTAACAAAAGAGAATGAAATAACAAAAACTCACACACAAAGAGGCTTTGAAATATATTTATAACGGCTTTACAAACTGTGTCACAAAATAAAACATAATCATAAAATAATTCAATATATTCTGAAATAAATAAACATGTTTTGAAAAAAAGAAATAAATAAACAAATACAAAAAATATATTTATCATGAAATACAAATACATTCTTGAACTAATGATAAATACATCTTAATGGAAATAAATGACAACATAGTCCATAATTAATTTCAACGGGGAAATCTATTTATGGGGAAATTCATTTATTTACATTTAGTTACGTTTTTTACATTTTTATGGGGACATGTATATATTCTTTTGAGATAATACTTATTAGAAATATTTAATATTCAGTTGTCTCAAAAGACTTAGACTCAGCTGTATTAATCCCTTGGGATTACTCCTTCTGGGAAATTCTGGTTCCAGTAGCTTATATAGCGTACAAAGAGTTAAAGCAAGATGCCATTAAAGATATAAAGAATGTTTATACTACAAAAAAAGCATAAAAAAGAAAACAACTTCTAATGTCCTGCAATATGTTTCCTTTAGATATAAAAAAAATCTGCACAGTAGAGAGCTAAGGAAAACTGCACAGCAATTGACTTGTATTATTGCACTTGCACTGCAGAGATGTACTGACCTTATAAATAAGTAAAAAATTACACAGGCTACACAGTTGTTGGCATGTATTATTGCACAGAGAGAGAAAAAATATTGCACATGAGTGACAATTGCTAATTTTTGCATAAGATGTCCAAGGAGGGGGGTGCTGACCCTTCTCATTCTTCCTATCACCTACTCCATCCCCCAAGTGAGGAGTTGTACGGCAAGGCCTTTTAGATGACAGACATGTTAAATTTACATTCTTGGTTGTTAAAGCAGTGTTTGTCTCTTGAGTACCTCCTCCAAAACCCGAGGTTCAAGCTGTTTATAGCAATTAACCTTTCTACAAACTGATACCAGAATTTTAAAAGCAGGAATGGCAAAGAAACATCAAACACACTCGAAACATGAAGTGGAGTTGATGTAAGTGTTGCATATAGGTCATTAGGGCTTAATGATTGTGTTGTGTAGTTGTCAGTCACCAAAATGTTTTGGTTGTTTAATGATGAAGAAAAAGAACAGGTTAATTACTGCCTCCAGTAATGATTAGGCAGTGTATGTATATTGGAGAGACCAGAGAGCCACCATCATTGAATATTACATAGAATTACATCCACCTCATTAACCCCAACTGTTTCTTTAAGAGAACACAATAAATGGTCAGATGAATGGTACATAGTACACCTATGTGACACTGGTCTATGTTATATTAGCACACAGCAGAATGCAGCTGTGGCAGGGGTCTCAGTGGAACTCATTATGTCTCTGACTTTAGAGAGGTCTGTTTAGACAAGCAGTTTATTGGAAATGACAGGCTTGATTTCCCACCATTAACTCAAACACTGGCCATGCTGTCTCAATTGGAATCATTCTTTAGCGTGACTTCTCTGGAGTGATTTTGTATCTCCACGAGAAATAAGTGAACAAAGAGTAGTTCATTCTCTTTTTTTCTTTTTTCTTCTTTTTTTTTTTGCATGTATGCATACTGTATGTCTTTTTAACAAAATTCCATGTCTTAGAAATAAAACTATATACTCAGTTAAGTAGACCCTTTTCAACCATAAAACCTTATGCATTTGTTTAAATTCTATACATAGTTTGTGTCTGTAGTAGACAAAAGTAGAGCTGTTTTCCTGCTTGGTTATAGCAGTTTTCTATAGCACTGGGGCAGATAGGTTAACTCCATTATTTCAAGGCTTTAGTTTAAGATCTAAAGATAAACTGTAAAATCACTTTGTGACACTCTGGAATTATGAAAAAAAAAAAAAAAAAAAAAGATTAAAATCTTCAAAAGAATATATTTAGAATTAGAAGTGGGGTGATTGCTTGATATATTTATTGAGAGATGTTTCCTTTCTGATTGATAGAATCATGGTAATCCTGCAGTGATCACGCAATGTTTTAGTGTGGGCGAAATTGTCACATTGGCAGAGGCTAAGTAAAACAGTAATGCTTGTAATCCAGTGAGGCTGACTCATCGAGATATGGATTAGGGCAGTATCCTCCAGAGAGGAAACAAAGAACAGGAAAACAATGCTCATCAGCAGAAATCCTACAGCTGCAAGTGCACATGTTTATCTGCAGGGTCTTAAATGGGTTGTGCATTGTATTTGGGAGACTTAATAATGAAACAGTGGTTACCCAAAATAAAAGGAGGGGGTGTTTGAAGTCAGTTATAAAGCAGAAATAAAAATATTTATTATTGTATTGCCTCATAGATCATTGAATGAAGTATGCCTCTGGTTTTCAATAAATAACCTGATGTGAATTCCACGTTACGATAAGTCTTAAAATCAGGAGATGGCCCGTTGCACATCTCTGCATCACTATAGATAACTAGTTAATTTTTTTTTTTTTTTTATTGTGCTGCTGGTCAACCTCTCACATTTTACCTAATTAGCTTCTGATTCAAAAAAAAAAAAAAAAAAGCATTCAGTTTGATCTATTAAATTTATGAACTATGAATTAAGGTCAATAATTTGACGTGATTACGGACTAAGAGATATTTTTCAGCATTTGAGCTGACTAGAACTTGATACAATAACAATATTAACCATGTTCTTTCCAAAAGGTACAGTACTAGCTCCTATACAATAGAAAACTTGCAGAAAATGTTTTTTCGTGTAATCCCACATCAGTAAACTATTTTTAATATAAGTTAATATAATCTTTTGAAGAGTAACCCTTAGTAAATAATCAAGGACTGTGGACTGTTATTAAGGTTTTATTTCAGAATGTTTTGCTTAATAATGAAGTGAGTAGCTCTTTTCCATTTAACAATATGAAAAAAAGGGATAAAAACGCAAACAGATATACAGTTGAAGGATGATACCTGTAATCTCAGAAAGTTTGTTTTTAATTGCAAATAAACAAAAAATTTTTTTTATCATTGCCTGTATATACAGTACATGTTGCTAAACCTTTAGTATTTCAGGCCAGTTAAGATGATTAAAAGTTTTGTTTTGCTAAATCAGTCAGAGCAATGACAGGGAAAATCTTTTTTTTTCTAATTTGAGCTTACTTTCTCTAAATAAAATCATTACACACTAAGATTAAACAGTAAATAGACCTACATGATTATGTCATGGGACCTCAAAAAGACTGCTGCTTTTGTGATGTCATGAAAAAAAAAGGATTCAGTCAAGACATCAGAGGAGTAATTGCTGACCTCTACAAGTTTGCTGCATCCTTGTGCATAATTCACGTATGGCCTGAAGGTATCACATTCATCTGTTAAAGCAATTACAATTAATTATGGACACCATCAAAATATCCAGCCATTTTCCAATTCAGGAAGGGAACAGGCATGCTGGGAGGGAAGTGTTTTTTTTTTTTGTCAAAACTGTGTACATTAGTCCCAGAGCAAAAGATAAAGACCATATGATGACATCAAGATTAAAGTGTAATTTTACGGTAGCATGACTCCTGTAGGCTAAAATTCTATGTAGAAAGGAAGTAACTATTACTCCAAAAGCAACTGAAACAAATATTGAATATTGTGTAAATGCATCAATAGACTATTTATAATTGAAAACATTCATTTTATGTTATTTTAGTGAAACTGAAATTAAAGTGTTCCTCCTTGACTGCTACACTTTGCAAAAAAGATAATATTGTGATGGAAGAACACGGTGGACACATTCAAGCAACATCTTGAGAAATCGACAGGATAGAGGAAACTTAAAAAAATAAAAAGATCTGGTGCATCACTTTTGCTGGTAAACATCTTTAAAAAAAACTTTTAGTCTTTTTTTTTATTAGAAGGATTTTATGTTTGAAATTTAACACTGGTTGTTTGAGATTTTTGGGAGGAAACTTTATAGTGCTAAATTAAGGGTTCTGTGAAAGACATATTTTTAACGAGCTCAGCTGAATTTAGTTTTTTAAAACATTTCATCAAATGAAGCATGTTATTATCTTTTCTCACAATCCTTTCCTGTTCAAAGACATTTGCAGATTGACCTTTTGGTTGACAGAAACAGCTACGTGGAAGTTTGCACAATGGAGTAGACCTTTCAGTCACTGTGGTGATTAGAGATATGGGATGTGGTATGGAAATGCAGAGCCAGACTAGATAAACCATTGTGGTAATGAAGAAGAAATTTGGTTTTCAACAGTTAATATTTTATCTCCTATACAGCATTACAATTTGTTTTTCAACATAAATCAAGTAAAAAAAATATATTTGTTGCCTTCAAAGATAAAAAGGGTATTTCTTCTAACTTTGGTGCACCCAAAGTGTTCAATATTTGATCCATGTTTAATGGAAAACCTCTAAGAGTCTGATTATGTTGTAATGTAGTGGAATAACAAAATGCTTTGACAAGAGTGGTAGCACCTTTCATCTTCACAGATCAATGCTCACTATGCATAAATGAACAACTGTACAGTAAATTATGATTATTGTTCTCTCCTTTAGGTATAGCTGGAAACCCAGTGCTCTTCAATGAAAATGGAGATGCCCCAGGGCGCTATGAGATCTACCAATACCAGATTAGAAACCGAACAGCTGAATATAAAGTCATTGGTAACTGGACAGATCAGCTGCACCTGAATGTAAGCACTTTCCTTTACCCTTTTATTTCCTTTTCACAGACATATTATACAAATGTCTTTCCAAGTTCCGAATAAATTCCTTTCTTGATTTTAACCATAACGTCAAAATCTGCTCCAACATCATTAGATAGTGCTTAGTCATATCTTCAAAGGTATGGAAATTCAAAGGCGGCTTTAAATCAAAACAGGGCAAACAGTGATGAAAAGAAAGTCAAAAAGGCCTAAAGACAGACAAGTTGAATAGAAATCTCTCAAGAAACCATAAGTGATGAAATGACAAAACAAAACAACCAACAATATTGTGTGGCAACATCATAAAATCATAGCAATTTACAAATAAGAACGGAAACAATAATTCTTGTTTTTCTAAAGCAGAGGAGGTCTTCAAAAGGCATGAGGGAAACTTAACAGCAGCTTGAGAGAAGCTTTTTTATTTCTTACTCACTGACATGTTGTAGAAGTGAAAAGAAACGCTGTGAGGTTTGAAGCTGGAACCTGCTGTGTAACCTGGCAGTACTGATTCTTAAGCAGGCAGTTTTTAATTAGTGTTCTTTGAGTTCTTAATTAAACATTTAAAGAGAAATTTACTGGCTTTGAACAAACAGCCACAATTGAATAAAACTGATAGTACTAAGAAGGAAAGACACTGTTGGATTGAGGGATTTTATTCTTTGTAAGCATGCTTGTAAGAGAGGTAATCCACTAGGGTGTTATCTGAAAAAAGGAAATTTGTCTTTTACTCCTCTGATTGATTTTTGACACCGTTGTTTTCTTCATAAAAGTCAAAAAAGGAGAAAGGCACAGAGATCATGTCCCTGTGGAGAAAACAACCAGTTTAATTTTCTTCTAACCTTTTAACCTTCACATAATTTCACCTTCCACTGGAACACTTTGCTTTTTGTAGAGTGATTACTGATGTGATATATAGTCTGGTCCTTTGCAATGACTGCTAAAGTAAATGCTCAAAACTAAGTATATACTTGAGTACTTGAAGGTTTTGTCTCCTTGATCAACCTTGTTCTTCAAAGTTTTTTAGGGTCTTTCTGGATCAATAAAGTATCACTACCTTCATATCTCTATAATTACAGGAAAAATACCACCCTTCCACTGCAGTATAACAATCTTTTCAAAGTTTTTATCTTGTTCCTTTTCTATAGTTATCTATATGAATGCTTCTCTCCTCTCTTTAGGTGGGTTCGATGCAGTGGCCGGGTGGAGTCCGTCAGATCCCGTCCTCAATTTGCAGTCAACCCTGTCAACCAGGCGAGCGCAAGAAGATTGTGAAGGGCATTCCTTGCTGTTGGCATTGTGAGCGCTGTGATGGTTATCAATATCAGGCAGACACATACACCTGTAAAATGTGTCGCTTTGATTTGCGTCCCAACGAGAATCACACTGGCTGTGTTCCAATCCCCATTGTTAAACTGGAATGGAGTTCCCCCTGGGCTGTCATCCCTGTGCTCATTGCTGTCCTTGGCATCATGGCCACTTTGTTTGTGGTGGTCACGTTCATCCGTCACAATGATACTCCAATTGTGAAGGCATCAGGCAGAGAGCTGAGCTATGTGCTGCTAACTGGAATCTTCCTCTGCTATGCCACAACATTCCTGATGATTTCTACCCCTGATGTCGGAATCTGCTCCCTCCGCCGGATCTTCTTGGGCCTTGGGATGAGCATTAGTTATGCTGCCTTGCTCACCAAAACCAATCGTATTTACCGCATCTTTGAGCAGGGTACTATGTCTGTTAGTGCACCCAGGTTCATTTCTCCAGCCTCTCAGCTTATCATCACGTTTACACTGGCCTCAGTGCAGCTGCTCGGAGTGTGCATTTGGTTTGGGATGGATCCATCCAAGGCCATTATCGACTATGAAGACCAGAGGACATCTAACCCTGTTTTAGCTCGTGGTGTACTCAAGTGTGACATCTCGGATCTATCCCTTATCTGTTTGCTGGGCTACAGCATGTTGCTCATGGTCACCTGTACAGTCTATGCCATCAAAACAAGAGGAGTACCTGAGACGTTCAATGAGGCCAAACCTATTGGTTTTACGATGTACACAACCTGTATTATTTGGCTTGCATTCATCCCAATCTTCTTTGGCACTTCACAATCCACAGAAAAGGTAAGCTTCAGTCAGTTCACAGTCCATCAGTTTGTTGGTAATAGATTATGATGTGATGCAAGCCTTAGACACTGGTGAAGCTATATGAAAATAATCTAAAAAGAAAACTATTACATTCCTATGACCAATTGGATTTTTACCAAGTAAAACTAAACATTGTATAATAACCTCTCACATTAAAGATGTGTTTAAAAGGACAAAGCAAACATGCCACTTATTTAACAGTGACAAGAGCTATGAATTATTCTAATTCAATTGAAGACAAAACTTTTAAAGGGGATGTCATCTGTAAGTTTCTGTCTTCAAGTTTGCAAGCTACTAAATGAAAACAGTGCAATAAAAACATTCTCTAATGACTCTGAAGGCAGCACGCAAGCTTGTGACTCATATATATGTGACGGCTGTATGCCATATTGCATTAGAGGGCCATGAGCTGTTTTCACAAACACAATCTCACTCTCATACTCCCATGTCAAATCAATGCATTGAGCCTCATGAACCACGAGTCTGTATCACATCCAGCGGAAGTTCTGAAAATCTGCAGGTCAAAAGGGATTCATAAAGAACCGGAAAACTCTAGGCAGATTCTGGACCTCACAGTCAGAGGAGACAGTCCGGGTGGAAAGCCAAGAGGGCACAACAATGACACAGAAGAAATGTGTCAATCCAGTTGAAAGGGTTGTTTTGGCAGCTTAACTAAAGGGTCTCAGTGGCTACAACAGAGGGCGGTGGTGATGGAAGGACTCACACTGGCATGAACACTATCAGCATTGCCTGCATGGCACTGACAGATGCAACAAATTAATCCTTACCTCCTCCCACTTGGGATTTAACAAAACAATGCTTCAAAAAGCTGGCTTGGAAAACTGGCTCTGACAGTAAGCACTGTGAAAAGGCATTTTCAAGATACCTAGAGCATGCAATATGTTCTTACAAACATAAAACTAAAAATTTCTAAAATCTAAAGCCTTTCACAATGTTTCCTTTTAATTCTACCACTTGTAGCATGTTATTACAGCAGAATATGCCAATAAAAAGGGTTAGTTCATGTTTAATATGTTTAAGTTTCATACTATAACTTGCAAGAACTGTACCTTCTAAAGCTATTTATGTTTTGTTGCTTGACCTTAACCTTTAGTATAATAAATTAATATTAATAGGAAACAGCAAGACAAAGTGTTGCATGATTACAAAGTGAAAGGGTAAATGATAGTTGCTTTCATTTTTTCATGATATTCCAGTATTCTCAGTATCCTTTTCAAAACAAGCTCAAACTGAGTCCGACTAAGGCTAGAAATTACATAAACACCAAATTAAACCTGTTATCATATACTCTGGTTAAGAATTAGTTTAAGGACATTTAGCTAAATAACAACTCTTTGATCTCAGCTGAATTTATCTTTGATATTCTTTGACCAATTTAAAAAGCTCAGGTGTTATGTTCAGGGCCTTTGTCTCCAGCCTGTATTGCATCTAACCGCTTTCTTTGAGGACTGCCCCATATTTAACTCCATACATACAGTATTCCCACTTACAGTATGCTAATCAGCTACCCTGTTCTGAATTTTAAGAAACTCACTTGGTCTTGTCTAGCCAGAGAACCTTCTTATACCATGAAACCAGAGAAAATTGAGCTTAGTTAACCCTCAGTGCTGATTATTCTAATGCTTCACTAGTCATTATCAAGACCTAAATACAGTATGGCCCCATGTTTCTATCACGAATGCTGTCACACACAGAGAGAATCCTATGCTTACTGGTTATAATAATACAGGATGACAGAAAAAATAAAATATCCAGATGCCATCCCTCACTCACGGAGCTAGCTTGAAGTCTTGTTTCCAGCGTGATTATTGTTTAGAATGGTTATAGTTATTAGTCGAGTCTAACTGGACAGCCTGGCACTTTTTGAGACAATTTTGAGAATTTTGAGTGCTTTTTTTTTCACTCTTTTGTCTCTGAATTCCTCCTACCAGAGCTGGTTAATGTTTATCTAATGTAAAAAGAGCTTTTCCAGCTTATTAGATCAGAAGCGACTGGCGTGATGTGTTGACGTTCATACGTTGCATTTAATGGTGTCACGTAATTTAGCAGGGCAACCCGGCTCTGGTGTTCCCACAGCATGCCGATCATAGCCATGGCGATTTTAAAGCAGGTTGCTTGCCGAGTCGTTTGACCTGGATAGACAAGTGTCAGTGAGCTTTTTCGTATTGTGATCTTATTTCTATCTATTTAACTATATTTTCACAGAGGTACAGGTGTGGGAAAATATTTAGCTTTCAGGGTGGTTGTTGAATGCCCAAAAGAACCTGTTGTTAGCAGAGGGATAGTTACAGTAGATCTTGAACAGCAATGGAGACCAGTGTCGGGCACGTTACTTTGAAAAAGTATTTAGTTACTAGTTACTTCTCCCAAAAAGTAACTGAGTTACTAACTGAGCTAATCCACAATAAAAGTAACTAATTACTAATAAAAGTAACTATTGTGTTACTTTTGCGTTTCTCTGCCCCGTAACCCTCACCAACCAGCCCCCACCTTCTCGCCATGAGCTTTAAAAGCCAGCTGAATAGAGTGGACGACAAAGACAAGTACCTGCAGAGAGTTTTGCATTTATTGCAACTCTACTTAAATGACATCAGGGGGAACGCTATCTGATGGGCCTATGAACCCCGTCAGAAAGCGTTTTCCCTCTTCTTAACATGGGGGGAATGGTATCTGATGTGGTGTAAATATCATCAGGCTGCATTACCTCTTTATTAATGGGTGTGACGTTCTTTTAACAGGGCGTTCAGATCTGGTGAGTGTATAAAATTAATAACTGGGGATGTCTAATTCTGAAATCCTGAAAGGGTTGTTGTAGATACTGCAACATCCATCCATCCATCCATCCATCCATCCAT